GTGGGTGTGAAAGGTGACGGGAACATTAACGAAATAATAGGAGATTTGACCGGAAGTTAGTTTTCCGTCCAATTGGGACCTTATTTGAGAATTTCGTGGAGTTCGGGACCTTCATTGAGCGCAATCGAAGTTTGGGTCCGAAATTACGAATTTGGTGTAAGTTCGGGTCCTTATGTCATATTTTTGCCGATTTTTTTTCCAGCGAAAAGGAATTACTAGTTCATGACCATTGGCCAAGTGCTGCTTTTGCGTCATTGCTTACGTTTTTGTTTTGTGTATCATTTTAAATGAGATTGCCAGATTGGCACGGCGTCCCAGTCGAAGAACAATAATGCACCTTGTAGTCACAAAATCTGCAAAATCAAATAATATGTATTGATTTGCAAAATAAATACAAAGTATTATAAACTTGAAGAAAAAAATGGGAAACAATCTCTGATTTGGAATGCTGCAGCGCACGTGCTTGGGCTTTGAATAGCAACACGTCTTAGAACAGCACGATCCTCTGATTAACAGCTGAATTTTAGAAGGGCAAGGGCTTAAGCTTGTTCTTGTCCTTCAAGGGATTTAAGACTTGTGCTTGAAACTTTTTCCTCTTGACATGGATTTGGAGATTACCCTTGGCAGGAGGCTGAGGCTGAAGGGCAAGGGCTTAAGCTTGTTCTTGTCCTTCAAGGGATTTAAGACTTGCACTTGAAACTTTTTCTCCTTGACATGGATTTGGAGCTTACCCTTGGCAGGAGATTGGGGCTTGAAATTTCGAGAATTGTTGAGGAAGCTTGAAGCTTGTTGCTCCTCTCCTTTTCTCTTTCTTCCTTCTTGCTTCTTCCTTTCTTCTTTTTCTCTTTTCTCTTCCTTTTCTCATCAAATGATGGCCTATTTATAGGCAAAGGGATGTTGCCAAATGACCTCAAATGTCCTTCACTTTAAGGATAATTTGGTCATTTTAATATATTTATTTATTATTATTTTTAAAATTAAAGAGATAATATCTCTTTAAAGATTTATTACCCTAACTTCTAAGATTTTACTAGGGTAAATATATTTTAAATTTTTGACATTTTTTTTAATGCCTACACACCTTTCCTGTAATACATTTCTTTTCAAAAGGTACGTTGTGTTTTGTTTTTTTTTTTTGAACTTAAAAAATTTTTGAGATGGGAGAATTAATAGTATTTTAAAACAAAATTTAAAATTTTATGTACTAACACGTTTACATAAAAAAGGTGGAGCCATTAGTCATTTAGTGTGGGACAAAATGTACGTTGTTGTGGGTAACATCTTCACCTGTAATGTGGACCCCACTCTGGGACTGTGGTGTCCACTCTCCAGTGGACTTGACCATACTTTTTTACCACACCACCTGTCACATTGATTATCATCTAGCGAAAGGGTAATTTGGAGATTTTAAAACGGCGTGGCAACAGTAGTAGTTGCCTTGATCCACCCCTATATTATATATCATCATCTATTTCATAATATCCCTATTAGCTCGCCAGCATAATTCGAATACTTTTCCCAGATCTATTAAAAATATATAAATAATTAATTTAAAATAAATTTAAAATTAAATAAAAATAATTATTTTAAAATAAAAAATATAATTTTAACTAGGTT